TTGACTTGGTCTTAATTCCAGATGTCCAATGAATAAGTTGCTGTAAATCCATTTTGGTAACTTCTCCTGGGGGCACTCGTTCTTTAGGATACCCGTCTGTTTCCTGCTGTCATTGAGCTCTGAGCCCACAGCAACCTTAAGGAGCTGTCTTTAACTGCATCACTGCTTATGGGCTGTGCCATGCCCATGGAATCATCCTGCTACTTAATTTATTCATTTTGGTACTGGAAAAGCTACAATTCTGTCACAATCTTGTTTTGAAACTGGAATCAATGGGATCCTTACTAGGCTTATGCTTTTGCCTCTAAGGGGGCAAAGCCATCAACTACTTGAGAAAAGCTTGCATTCTCTTTAGTCAGAGGTGAGTCCTTCAGGAATGAATGCAAGAGATGTTTGGTGGGAGTATATCTGGCTCCCAACATTGCCAGTTGGTTCCATGGCCACCTTCTTAAAATAGAAAAATGACAAATTATAGCTCTGCCAGGATTGCATTTGGTCTAATCCAGAGAATATGTTTTCAAGTGTCTGAAGGACTCTGCCACAGGAATCTTGATAGCACCAGCCAAGACATCTGAGGTCCCAGGACGGCAAACCCTAGGGACCATCCAGTTCTCGAGGGGGGATTCCAGCAAAATAGAAGCTGGGGTTTGGGCATGTCTGGGCAGGTCTGCTGAATACGTAGGGCAGGCACGCCTGGAGTCTATTTACATGACGGCTTTTGGCTGAAAAAGAATTGTGTGGTGCCTGAATGGAAAGTGGAATGGGAAAAGCAGAAATGTGCCAATCTTAGGAATTAGGTTTTGAAAAAATGTTTCTTAACAAATAAGTTTATTAATTAAATGATTTGTATCTAGTCCTTACATAATTTATGTTAGAAGTTTTGATCACTTGGATAGAATTTTCCCTATTACAATCTTAGGGGTCTATGGTCCTTTTGTGGAAAATTGTATTAAAATTTAATAAGACTTATACTATTTATTTTAAAGTTTATTCATTTATATTTGTTTGAAAGGCAATGGGAAAGAAGGAGAGGGAGAGAGAGAGAGAGAGAGAGAGAATTTCTTCTTTTTGCTGGTTCACTCTCCTGATGGCCATAATAGCCAGGTCTGGGCCAGGCTGAAGCCAGAAGCCAGGAGCTTCATCTAGGTTACCCACTTGGATGGCAAGGGCCCAAGCATTTGGGCCATCTTTTGCTGCTTTCCCAGGCACATTAACAGGGAGCTAGATCTGAAGTGGAGCAGGCAGGACTTGAACCAGCACCCATACAGGATGCTAGCATCACAGGTGGTAGTTTAAACCACTTAGCCACGACACTAGCCCCAATCCCCCTTCTCTTTGATAATGATTTTAGGATATAATTTCAAACTTACAGGAAAATTACAAAAACAAAGTACCAAAAATTTACATAAACCTTGTACTCAGATTTTTTTTGACTTCATTTTGTTATTTGAATATTTGAGTGGATGGAAAAAAATGATAAAATCTATCCTAAGCCATTTAAGGATAAATTGCATGTATTTTGGGACTTTTTCTCTTAAATACTTCAGTGAATGTTTCTTGAGTCTAGGAATATTCTCTTATATAACCACAGCAATCAATTTCAGTACATTTGTCTTTGATGCAATACTTTATATTTGGATAGTATTATGATTTTATTATGAATTGGCCCAATATTATTATAGCATTTTCTCCTAAGGAACAGGATCCAGTCTAGTCATACACTGCATCTAGCAGTTCTGTTTCAGAATTATTTTAATTATGCCATATTTTATTTTTATCATACTTGAGATTTTACTTTTATCATACTTGAGGACAAGCTGATGAAAATCAGATTTATAATTATTTATATTTGTGTAATTCCTAATGATGATTAGGATATAGTCATACTAATTAAAACTAGTTAATAGAAAGTATTTCTATTAAGTAAATTAGACTTTTTTGGTCATCACTGAATTTCTAACAATAATCTAATGATGTTGATAAACTTTTTTTAAAAAGATTTTATTTATTTTATTTGAGAGGTAGAGTTACAGACAGTGAGAGGGAGACAGAGAAAGGTCTTCTTTCTGCTGGTTCACTCCTCAAATGTCTGCAACAGCTAGAGTTGTGCCGATCCAAAGCCAGGAGCCATGTGTTTCTTCCAGGTCTCCCATGCAGGTGCAGGGGCCCAAGGAGTTAGGCCATCTTCTACTGCTTTCCCAGGGCATAGCAGGGAGTGGGATTGGAAGTGGACTAGAACCGGCACCCATATGGGATGCCAGCGCCGCAGGCAGAGGATTAACCTATTGTGCCACAGCATTCGCCCCAAATGTTGATATACTTTTAAGAGACTTAATTTAAAATGTTTTACTGCTAATTAGCCTAATGCAGGATTAGTGGACAAGCAGAAAACTCCAAGAAGGAAAATGAGATACGGTTTGGTGTTTAGGAGGAATGATTGATGCTGACAAGCATGGAATAAAAATCTTAAATAAATAATCTGGATGTTGTTTAAAAGGCAAGCTGCTGATTTTGTCACTCCCCCTTGCCAAGACACACATTGGTGCCTGCTAAATTTGACATTTTTACTCCAATAACCAATGGCAGCTTTTGAGTGTCTGTAGCATCCTGGGACCAAGTAACAAATCAATTCCAGGAAGAGCTGTGAAACCAATTCTGTCTTGACTCCTTTCCTGGGAGCCCCTCCCCAGGGTGGCTCATCCGCTAACCCTCAGCCTTCTTGGGGTTAATTGCAACTTGATTGTTTTAGTCACTTCTGCTTCTCTTTTTCTGGCAACCCAGGGAGGGTATATAATAAAACCCTAGACTCTTAATCATTAATACAGACTCTGCCTGCCAAAAACTCCTCTGCCTCCACCAAAGTTCTCATTTGGTGACCACAGTGGAGAGTCAACATTTGCAAACATAATAGTTTTTGGTGATTATTCTTAAGAAACAGTTTTCACAAGGGAATAAAACTTGAAAAAGAAATGGAGTAATCTCACTGTCTATAACTCTCTCTGTCTCTCTCTCTCACTGTCTAACTCTGCCTGGCAAAAAAAAAAAATAAAAAAATAAAAAAAAATAAAAAAAAATAAAGGACTAAAACACTTTGAAAGAAAAAAAATCTATTTGATAAGTAATTTTGGTAACATTGAAAATTCTTTGCTCTTTCCCTTTCATAGTCTCTACTCAGACTTTCTAACTGCTGGCATTTGATATTTTTAATATTCTTGGGCTTTGACTATGTAGCACACTGAATAGGAAACTTGTGGTGAGAAACTACTTATGTAGCCCATGTATTACAGTGTATCACGGGACCACTGATACTCCCAATGCTGTCCTATGGCTGTGATAGTATCTAACAAAAACTGCCAAGCACTGACATGCTTTCTTATGGATTTCATGATCGAATCCCCAGGAATCATGCATAACACTGTGAAAATCTCCATTCTCATCCTTACCTCACTAAGTGTTTAGAATTCCAAGACTGTCATGCCTATTTCTGCAGTTGATACTCTGATTTCTAGAATGTGCCTGTCAAATATTACCAGTCTGTTTTTACTTTTCCTTGTGATGTGTGGCTTTTGCAAAGATCTAAGATTCACGTTATTTAAACAATTTTTTACTTGTTTGAAAGGCAAAGAGGTAGAAATTTCCCATTTGCTGGTTCAATTCTCAAATGTGTACAACAGCTAGGAGGATCCACCATGTGGATGGCAGGGACTCAAATACTTGAGCCATTTCCTGCTGCTTCCTGGATGAGAATTAGCAGGAAGCTCGAATGACTAGAGTCAAGACTTGAACTCCTGGCACTCCTGATCCAGTGTGTAGGTATCCCAAATAGTGACTTAAGAGCTGTGCCACACACCCACCACAGGTGCACTTTACTTAATAAGGAAAGTAGGTTATAGGGTACCCCTGCCGATGGCAGTGAGCTTGTAAATAAGAAAGACTAAGCTAAGATGGTTGCTTTAAAGAGAAAACTTTAGGCTTGGTTCAACACAGGGAGAGGTCCACATCTTGAATGTTCCTCAGTGTGTTTCATGACATGCATGTGTGACTCCACACAGGAGTTACTGCACCTCAGATCCCTTTATATTCCAAATTCCAAGCTTCTGTTGGCCTTGCCACTTATTTTCAAAGTCACTGTAATCCATAGTAAATGTTACCATGTACAATTTTACCAAAAGCCCAAACAACCACTTTTGCACCATCAGGAATTGAGGCTATTGGCTTTTTAAAATTTTTTTATTTTTTCACTCATCATTTATTTACAAATACACATTATAACTTTTATATACATTGCACATTTACATGGTAGAAAAGTACAAAACTATATATTTAAATGAATTTATATTTAACTTGCCATGTTTGAAAATATAAAATTGCATCAGAAAAAAGTATTATGAAAAGCAAGAAACTTGAACTGATAAAGCTTCAATATAACTTTGAGTGACACACTGGTTGAAAAAGAGCTAATTTAAAAGGTACAGCCAGCTAGTTTAAAGGAGACACCAAACAGAAGCTGAATGTGTAGCCTCCACCTTCCTTTAGTCTCCTGATACCCACATCACTCCTTTTCTTTGGATCTCTAACATCATAAGAGTACATCACTAGGATTCTAAAGCGACTGTCATCCCCTTTCTCTCAAACATCTTCATCCTAACAAGAGAACTGAATTAGGAGTTTCCGCAAAGATGCACATCCTCTGTACCTTGTATTTGAGTCAGAGTTATAATGCCTTTTGGTCAGTCAAGATTCCTTGTAAACAAAACCCGAGGGACCATGTATGTACAGATCAGGCAGCAGAAAATCCAATAAATAAACATGACGGAAACAGACATGCAAGTTTGTTAAAAGTGGAAAAGGGTCTAACAACAGTGAAATGTAGGGAGACAGATGAGTGAGTGAATAGTAAGGAATGGACTTAAATGGTTTACAAGGAAAAAAAAAAGCTTTTACTTTACAAGCAAGAGACCTCACAATAAATAACAACTGCTCTTCCTTTCACGAATAAATTTCTTCAAAAACAAGGTGTACAGTCAACCAGACATTGTATGTATAAATTATAAAAACATGACACAGTATAAATAAATGTCTACAAGTCTCAACTATGGGCCTCATCCAGTAGACCTCAAAATGACCGCCTCTCCATGTCCAATGAGTAGCAAGGTGGCCTGGGAGAGAGCTTTAGGACAAAGGTCTTTAATGTATAGTTTCCCCCCCAAATAAATAAGCATACACTTATTTACAGTATGGACAATATATTTTTTCTTTTCTTTCTTTTCTTTCTTTCTTTCTTTTTTTTTTCTTTTTTTTTTTTTTTTTTGCTCATAGGCTATGCCAACACTGAACACTGGTGGAAGATTTACCACTCTAGAATGGAAGAAATAGGAAAGCTGTAGTCCTGGTCTTCATCTTCCTCCTCTTCCTCGGTGTCTTCCGAAATGGCTAGATGGGGGAATACAGGGGAGCTGTTGTTTAAATATGGACAACAACAGCGCAGAAGCAGCTCAGTGTATGTTTTCAAAGCCCTCTGATACAGCCATATTACAGCGTTGCGTTTTTAAGTGACTTGCAGTGAGATGCTTTTATTTTTTGTTTTTGGCATCTGCTGTTATGCAATAAGTTTAATTAAAAAAAAACATAATCTATGGAGTCAAAAACTGCAGAAAGTTCTGAAGAATCAATGGCTCAGGTTTTACGGGCAGATTCCTGAAATTAGATAAAAAGCGTTCTTGTGTTCTAGTTATAACTGCTTTGGGTCCTTAATCAGAGTTAGTAGAGGCAACTGCAAAAAGCAGCAGCCCATGTGTGATATGATATCTGTCTTTGGTAAAAACAACAACAACAAAAACAACAAAAAAACCTGAAACTTTTGAAGCAGTTAGTTTAGATTCAAGTGTTAATAAGGCAAAGAGCAAAGCACATTACTAAAGCAAAAGAATTATGGGTAAACAACTGGAAATAGGTTTTCAGAGGCCATCCTGTTGATGATCACCATCCTAAAAGTCCTAAAAGCCAGGAAACATTGCAGAGAATCTTTTGTGGGTCACGGAATTGCTGGTGAGATTCAGCAGCTGCCTAACTGGAATACAAATAGGCTCACGTGGGGAGGTTTGCGTGCTTTTTAAGTGTCCGTTCCCCAGGGCTTGCCTGGGAGAGACTTAAATTGCAGCAAGGTTAAAAACCACACTTACAGTTACAAGATCCGGAGTGCTTTACTTCCAACAGCACACCTGAGGAGCAGGCAGCCTCCTTCATGGCACACTCGCTGGCGTAAGTGGCGTTGTCACTGGCGCAGACAGGCTCGTCGGACTTACTGTCAGGGCACAGCTCATCACAGAGGGAACACCGGCCTCTGCCAACTTTGAAATCCCATAAACATTTTTTTCCACCAGTGCACTGGATGTCTTCACAGGACTTTGCTTCTAGGATATAATGTGTTTGTGATGAGTAAACTGACTTGCCCATTCTCTTTCTCTAATCCCATCAATAAACAGAAAAAAATCACTTTTGTATTATTACTTACGGGGGAGGGTAATGAAGAAGTTACACAAAAATACTTGATAATAAAAGTGAAATGTGCACACACCCACACGCACACACACACACACTCCCACCCTCCCCAGCCCATTTCTAACATACAATAGTAGTGCATGAAAATAAATTTTTTTTGGGAACAGGATTTCAGAATATCCTTGAATTAAGTGTGTCTGATTATTTCCCACAAGTGGGGTCTTTTAAAAAAGAGTTCCATCAATTACTAGAATCTGACAACAGATTTCAGGAACTGTTAAGTAATTATTTTTCACTTCCAGCAAGTCTGGCACTTAAAAAAAAAAGTGTAAAATTGAGAGTTTGAAGTTTTCTGAGATGGAACATTTTTTCCTGCACTTTGCAGGCATTTGAATATAGATGTCAGTGCTTCCAGAAAACAAGTTTCCGAGAGGAATGAATGAATGCTGTGATCATGAGGGTTTACTCAAAGCAGGGAGTATTTCGCCCTCTGGTGAAAGCATGTGCCTGGGGAGGCCCGCAGCCTTCTTTATTGCTCAACCCAGCGGCTACCACCAGAGAGCCAGCCTTTTTGATCCTGCCTTCTCTGCTTTTCCTTCCTGCATTCAGAATACCTACTGATACACTTTCCCTCATAGGCCAGTCCGATGGATCTGCCCAGCAGGCAGGTGGCCTTCCTCAGGTGGCAGGCGCTGGGGTAGGTGACTCCATCGTTCCCACAGAGGTACTGTTCCGGGGAGGTAGGCTCAGGGCAAATCCGATTACAGGTCACGCAGTAGGCGTTATTGGTCTGGTCCACCACACACGTGGAGCTGCCTGGACAGAACACATCCCGACAGGTCTCTGAAACACAGAGAGAAACACACATTAATAGGCACCTGTGGCCCCCAAGGAGTGAGCAGTTGATGTTACGGAGGCAATTATGGAATTAAAGCATCCAGTTTCAAAAGGCACTTGGGGAGTCCTGTGGTTTTCCAGAGAAAATCTACGACTCCAGGTCGGTCCCTTTAGTACTCTCACTATGTCTTCACAAGTTACAAAAGTAGTTCCTTTACCTGCTATCACTAGCATCGCTATGAGGCTCTTCCTGTGGACTACTCTATCCCCTACGGGGCTTCCAGAGGGTCTACGGTAGGTAGAGAGCTCCGAGGAGGGGAGCTGAGGGCTTGCTCAGGAAGGGCGGGACCTACTTTTACATTTGCCCTGGTACTGGACTTCCAGTTCCGGCTGCTCTTTGCACCTGGCCTTGAGGAGTGCACATTCGTTGCGGTAGGTTTTGCCGTCCATCCCGCAGACGGGACCCTTCCAGGTGATATTGGAACAATCTGGGGCACACACGCAGCGGGGTTTGTTCTTCTTGTTCATCCGGCATTTCTTCCCGGGGCCACAGTCCACGTTCTCACACGTTTCTATGGATTGGAAAGAGGTAGGGCTTACAACCAGGGCCGGGCGGTCCGTAGGTCAGCCCGGAGGTCGTGCTGGTGCCTTGTGCAATCCTGTAGCTCTGAGTTTGTTCTCAGGAGCCCCCAGGCCCTCTTTTAGTGGGTTGGAGGGGGGCAGCGCCCCATACCCAAATCTGTCTCCACACGTGGCTCAGAAGTCCGGGGACCTCCGCGGACTCTGTTTTGCGAAGAGTTGTGACAGGCAGGAATGGCTCCCAATGGCGTCTCAGAGCTGGGCGTAGGAAGGAGGAGCCCACCCACACAGCTCTCTTGGTTCCAGTCCCCCCCCCCCCCCCCCCAGGCAGGTAGTGGGGAAGCCCAGGGTAAGACGCCCTCTGCTGAGGGCCTGAGGTTGGGGAGGAAGAGTCCCACCTTTACAGGGGATGCAGTTGGGGGCGCCCCCGTTGAAGATCATCCACTTGAAGAGCGTGTTGTCGTTCACGTCCTCCTCGGTCCACGAGGTGCTCAGGCGGCCCGTGCTGCAGCACTCCTCCTTGCTCAGCTCGGTCTTGTACAGGACCTGGCAGCGGCCGTTCTTGGCTTGGCGGAGCCAGCAGTTCCCAGCTGTGAAGAGTCGGGGGTGGGAGGTGGATGCGCCGGCGAGCGGCGGGGGACGGGGAGAGGGAGGCGGCGGGCGAGCGAGCACAGACGACACGGCGGGCGTAGGGAGGGGGTGAGCGTGGTGCAGGGAGGGCAGGGCGCGCGGCGGGGGAGACGCGCGGCAAATAAATAGGAGGGGGTGGAGGGGTTGGGAAGGAGGGGGGGGGGGAAGCCCTGATCCCAGAGGTGGGGGGCAGACGAGGGGAGGCAGGGCGAGGCAGAAGCCAGAGCGCCCCAGCCATATCAATGTCAGTTAACCAGTGACCCAGACACAACACGTGCAGCTTGCATTGACTTTTACTAGACTGTTTACTTTTATTCGTCCCATTTCATAACCTGCAGCGACTCGAAGGGCAGATTAAAGAACCTGACAAAAACAGGATGCGACGGATGTTTTTACATGTTGGTTTCATGTAGGCGGCACGGGAATTATTTGTGACAGGGGTTAAGAAAGTGAGAGAACGGGAGAGGAGAGGGAGAGAGAGGAGAAGGAGACACACACACACACACACACACACACACGCACGCACGCGCAGGAACAGATCAAGCAAAAAGGCACTTGCGAAAAATGAAAGCAAAAAAGCAATCCGGAGCTGCCCCGCGCGGCCTCGAGGCGCAGCCCGCCCGACGGGCCCGTTTTGCAATCCGCCGCCCCTGAGCACGCCCGCGGCCACCGGGAGCTTTCGAAATCTCCGAGGGCTGCTTTCCCTGGCGCCCACGTCCCTGGACGCGGGCAGCCGGGCGCAGGGCGGTGCAGACGGCGGGGTCGCTCACACCCTGGAAACGTTCACGCTCACGCGGGCAGGGCACCTCGGCCCGGGGCGAGCGTCCTGCCGGGTCCCGGCTCCGTACACCTAGCTCCCACCTAGCACGAAGAAACCTGTGCAAGGAATCTCTCCCCCTTCCCCTCTTTTAACACCCAGATTTGGGTCAGGAAGTAAGACTTTAACAATAACTGGACCACAGGCTGCTAGTATTATTTTAAAAATTCTGCCCAAGACTAATGGAAAGAAACAGCTATTTTTACAAGACAAACTTAAGAGATTTACTCTTGATACAGCTTAGCATTTAAATCAGTTGTGGGCTGCTCGCTGTTTTACAAAAAGTTAACAGTCCGAGGAATGAAGCAAAGAAGAGGGAAAAAAAAAACCTGTAAAGTAACTCACAACACTCCCGGGTAATAATTTGACTTTTTTTTTTTTTTTTTTGCGGGGTTGGGGGAGGGGGTTTGGAAGAAGCATCCATTAGGCAGAAAGCTACTTCCCTCGAAAATTTTCAGCACCCACATTTCCAAGTTTGGGCAAACTTTCTGAAACCACGTCCCCCAAGCCACCGGAGAAAATTCAGTGTCTCCGCAGCCCCAGGTCATTGTAAAAAGTCTCCAAAAGACGTGGGAGGCACAGAGGTTAGACTGCAAACCGGGCGGCCGAAATCCGCAGGCTACTACTGATGCTGGTCCCCAACCCCGGAGATACCATCTCAAGTCATCCCGGCCAGAACTCGGAGCATCTAACCCTATTATTGAGGGGGGAGTCCACCCTCTTCTTTTTTTTTTTAAAAGGGGAGAGGGGAGCCCACATCTCCGCTGGGTGGTCAAAAAAGTCTCACTGCGTGGGTTGTTTCCACTCTTTTCTTCGGGGGGGAGTCGCTAACTTGGTCCAACATCTTCCAAGAGCAGCGTTGGGGCGAACAGACCACGGAAAAGTAGAGCCCCCTGCCCTCAGCCCAGCCTGCCCAGCGCATCCCCCCCTCCCCTCGCTTACCCTGGGCGCTGCGGTCCTCCATGAACTGGCAGAGCAGCAGCAGCAAGAGGCAAAGCCCGCCGGGCTGGTGCCTGGCGCGGACCATCCTGGGGGCAGGCGCGGGGCGAGGAGCGCGGCGGCGCGGGGAGCGGGCGCGGCGGCGGGGCGGCTGGTGCGAGCGGCGCGCGTCTCGGAGGCGAGCGGCGGAGGGCGCAGAGATCCGGGCGCAGCCCCGCGCTCACAGCCGGCCGCCCGCGCGATTCAATGGACGTCAGAAGCCGGGCGCAGCCGCGCTTTAAATCTAGACGGGGGTCTCCGCGGTTTGCGGTGGGCGGTCTCCCAGTGTGTGGGGCTGTGGGAGGGCGGCCTCGAGCGAGGGTGTGCGCGGCTCCTTGGGGGTGGGGAGCTTTTAAAAGTTCACTGTGAATCAGGTGACATTTCCCACCTTCTGGAAACCCTTCCCAGTTATCTGTCGGAGGTGCCCGAAATCAAAGCGGCAGGAGGGGAATCGCCGAGTTCTTATTTGCGTAGGAGCGGGAGGGAGGGGGCAGGCGGCCGGGGCGGGGGGTGGGGGCGACGCTCGGGGGTGGGGAGCGGGGAAGAACACCCACTTCATGTCCTGCACGCCGCCGCTTGCGGGCAGCGCGCCGCGCCCGGGGTGGCGTGTGTGCGTGCGTGCGTGTGTATGTGTATGTGTGTGTGTGTGTGTGTGTGCGGGTGTGCGCCGCGGGGCGCTGGAGCGGGCGGCGGGCCGAGCGGGGAAGCCGGCACTTGGTCTCCGCGCCGCTGCTTCTCCGCTCCTCGGCTCTGGCAAAAGACTTTGCAGACGCCGGGAGAGCCGCGGGCTGCTGGAGAGCCCTCGCTCGCTCAGGGTGGGGTCGGACCCTGCCAGCCTCCCGTACAGCCTGGGCGCGGGGGACCCGGCGGGAGGTTTTGTGTCTGGGTCTGTGCGTGCTGGACTTGGCGGCGGCGGCGGCTCTCGGCCCTGAGGGGTCGCTGGGAACCCCGGCCCCGGCACCTTCCACCCTGGCGGAGCAGCGCGGAGACGCAAGCCCCGGGTCTCCACGAGTAGCAAACAAAAATGTTTAACACCTCAGACGCGGCCTCCCCCCCGGTGCAGTCTCGCCCTGTCCCTTTTCTTCTCTCTCCCCTTTCACTTCCCGGGCGTCTGGAGTCGGAGCCCCGAGCGGGGGCGCCGACGTAGGCGGTCTGCCCCCTCCTCCCCGCTCGGCGACTCCCCTAGTTTCTGTCCTGTGCGTCTCTGTCTCTCTCGTCTCCAGCTCGGCTCCAGACTCGATTCTCTCTCTCTCTCTCTCTCTCTCTCTCTCTCTCTCTCTCTCTCTCCTCTCTCTCTCTCTTCTCTCTCTCTCTCTCTCTCCTCTCTCTCTCCCTCCCCCCCCCCCCCCCGCGAATAAAAAAAGATTGCAACATCGATAATGAACTTCTGTAGCCTCAGTTTATTAAGTACAGTGCCTGGCATTCTTCACTGGAAGTTGGCGGGTCTCTCATTTATAACATTTTTGGCACCGCTGAATGAAACTGAGGAGGCGATATTTCCTTTTATATAAAGCGATTACTTCACGGAAAAGGCTATATTGTTTATTCCAAAGCTGCCTTTTAAATTGCTATTCATTTCGCTTCTCCAGCCCGTAGGACAACAGACAGCGAAGTATGCAGACAAAATTCTTGGACATTCGCAGGTCACTGGGATTTGTTCTACGGATTTCAAACCCGCCCCTCCTTCGCCCCCCTCCCCCAGTCCTCCCCAGGCCCTCCCACCCCCATCTTCCGTCACCCCCCTCCCACCCCCTCCACAACTGCAAATAACTCAGTGATAACAGATTTTTTTCCACCAACTGCAGGAGATAGTGCTAATCTTTTAATAAAAGATCCCATTACAATGGGATCTGTCTGGACAGACTATAATAGATCCCGAAGTACAGCCGTGCTAATATTAGAAGACAGTTGTTTGGGTGCCTCTCAGACGGGCCCGAGCCCCCCTTTGAAAGTGGGCGCATGAATCACAAAGCCCCGCGGCCGCCGCACCTGCACCGCGCGCTTTCGGTGCAGCAGGCTGGTAAAAACGGTGACCTCGCAGCGGCGGCGGCCGGCGGCCGCAGCCGCCGCCACGGCAGTGGCCGCCGCCGCCGCCTCTCGCTTTATAATTACCGTCGTGAGCACGCGAGGGAGGGGCGCGGCGGTCGGGGGAGGCTGGCTCTCGGCGCACTTCAGACGGCGCTGGAGCTGCACGTCCTTTTTAATCTGCCCAGATTCAGTTTGGCTGTGTTTCCCAGTCTGTCTGTCTGTCCGTCCCGCCCCCCCCTCCCCCCCGCCCCGTCCCCTCCCTTTCCTCCCCGGTCCTCCTACGCCTGCCGCCCCTCGTCCCTCTCTCCTCTCTTTCCCTCCCTCTCCCCGACTCTGCCCATGCCCTCCCTCCCTCGTCTCCCTCCCTTCTTTCTTTTCCCGGCTCCTTGTCTCGCTTCCCTCCAACGCATTAATGTAGAGTTGTTTAGTGCCCTCTAATGGCAGACGACATTAACAATTAATAGCAAACTGCCCCCTTTGCAGGAGCCGCCACTCCATGGCAGAGTTCCAAAGTTGAATTTATTTCTCCTTTATTCACAGAGGTGGAGAGAGGGCTTGCACGCTGCTGTGCTGCAGGGAGAGTTAGTCTTCTCCCCTCCTGTACTTTTCCTCCCTGGGAAAACTTCAAGGAAAGAGAGGCGCTAACAAGTATTGTTACTTTTTCCTCCTTCTGCACAGATTTGTCTGTCAGTGGCAGCGAGAGAGGCAGCTTTTGTTTGAAGCAGGTTAACGGAATCCTGCCTCCGTGGCATTGCTACCAAGAGCCACTAAAACGTTTTTAAGACCCTCGCATCATTACAGGATTTTATATTTGTCCTACGTTTAAATCAACATATTGATCTTGAATCAGCCAGTGACCCCTGGAAGCTGGGCTCTTTTTCTTAGACTTTCCACACAGCGGCTATAGAAAACGTTTCCATTTTACACGTGTCCACTTGTGTATCAAGTCTTCCTGCCTAGAGGAATATAAGGTCACATTTTAATTCACAGCTGATTTTTCAGGACTTTTGGGAAGATCGCTTTAAAGATCATAATAATTTCCCCATCTATTATAAACCTAAGCAGTGAAGATACTGATGTAACTTGGGTGTTCTTATCAGATTTAGTTCTCCATTTACGTATATACATACACATATAAAGAGTTGTTACAGAAAGATTGTACATGTCTACACAAATACTGCTTTTTTAGGGGGGAGGGGCTAGGTGGCAAGATGAAAATGAGAATAGAAGCAGTTTTTTTGGACTTCGTAAAGATATTTACCTGGTCATTGGAGTAAAAGTACTTGGTTTATCCAGTTACTTTAGTTTTGGTAGATAGAAACGATTGGTGTCATAAGAAATATTCTAAATTAATTTGATCCAAGATACAGCCACATCATTCCAGTATGATTGGGTGATATGTAAAAATGCTATCTGTTTCATTTCTTGTCTGTGCAATGTCAAATGCTCAAGACCAGTCATTGAACTAAATCAACCACATTGATCAGTTTGTGCATCGCATAATTGTCTTGGCCAGGCCAAAGCAGACACAGTAGCTCTCGCTATAAAAGAAACACCAACTTTTTTGGGAGTCCTCTAGTGCCAGAGGAAGACCCAAGGCAAGACTGCTTCCCACCACAGACAGGGAAGGCGTGCAGGTCAGGGCTGAGGTCACTGGCAAACACACTGTGGAAAACAGGAGTGCAGGGTTTCTTTTGCCCTGTGAATAAGCCGCTTGGTGTTTGTTTAACGAGACAAGCTCATCCTGTTTTTCAACTGCACCTTGGATAGTATTGATCTGTTTGAGAGAATGTCTACTCCCATCTGCACAGTTCAGGCACCAGGATCCGTGTCATCTTTTTTTTTTTTTTTCCCTCTTGGGCCATCTTGAAAGAGACAAGACCTGTGTCTACAATGGTTCCATATGGGCCTCCTGTGGGCATCAGCCAGAGATCCAGCCAATTTCTGTGGAATGAAATGGTACCACACCTGTTCAGTGACGTCACAGAGAAACAGCTGTGGCTTCTTGTGCTGTCTTCTTGCCTGGAAATGTTAAATATTGGGGTTGTAGATATCTAAATGTCAAAGGGACATTTTAAAATAAAAATGCTGTCTTTCATTTTTATTGTATGCCTCCAAATTTGACTTCTTATTTTTTTCCTTTCTGGTCTGCCAAAAAAGTGAATGTAAATTATGAGAAACACAATAGGACCACTTTGTAACTGAGTTTCTGGGCAGCACACAAAAAGACTACTGTTCTCTGATTGTTTTTTGTCAGCTTCAAAAGCTATCTTCCTTCTGAAGTTTATAAATTTAAAATATTAGAGTTTAGCAAATGATTCAATCTAACTCCCCAGGTAGCTATTTGAACTCACACGGAATTGTTGTTTAAGTCCAGAACTGACCTGGTTAAATTTCAGTCCTAAGAGAAATATGGAGGGAGTGGGCTGAGGTTATGCATGAACCATTTGAAAGTCATGAACGAAGCAGCTTTTACTTTTTGCCTTAAAAATGTTAAAAGTCAAGTTTTCTTTTTTAAAGTTAGGTGTTTTGTAAAATAAGTGTTCAAATGCAAATGGTCTATCTTAATTAGACAGCAGAAATTAAGCATTTGAGAAATAGACTGAAAGGGTTTTAAAATCAGGTTTTGTCCTTCTAGGTACAAAAACAGTTGCTTAGTGCGTCACGCTCTTGGGCGTTGTGCAACTTCATAGGATACAATAAGGATTTGAGTGGGGGTTGGAGGCTGCTAGTTCTGTATTGGCAGAATTGAAAAGAAATGTGAGTACATAAAAATGGTGTTTGCTCAATATGTTAAAACTGCCAGTTGATTTAAAAAAATCATTCAAAATATGTTTTTTAATATGGTACTGAGATAACAATTAGTTGATTATTTGAAATTTTCTCTTTTCACTGTTGCTTTGGTATTATGTAGTGTCATGCACTCATAGTGTTTTCTTTTTGATACTACCTATTTCTGTGTGACATTTTTGTTGCCTCATTTTCTCTTCCAATTTTAGAAATATTTTGAGTGTCTAGGAGTCAACTGAAAGATGTGGTACATACTCACTTAACCAGCCGTGTCAGCGTATTCAAGTTCAACCTGATTAAGCTATTAAAATAAACCTTAGTAAACAAGTCAAATTATGCCTCAGGATAGGAAAGTTACATTGGATTAATAGAAAGTTCTGAAGTATCATAGGTCCCAATACAGATGATTCCTATATTTGGGTATGACTGAAAATATCAAAGTGTGACCTTTGGCGTTTAAACCCAGGTTCCACTTACACTTTCTTCTGCGTGGGAAGTGTGAAGGGGCCAACCCCTGTTTGCTCTTCTGTTTCCTCACTTCATGTTCAAAACAACGTGTCAATCAAAGTAAAGGCCACCTTTCTGGATTAT